CGATGGGGGGGGGGGGGAGAAAGGGATGGGGTTTGAATGTTAGGGAGGGGAAGGGATGGCAAGGAAGGGTGATGATAGGGAAAGGGAGGGCTGGCGAGGTTAGGAAGGGGAAGGGTGGTGATGGTGAATGAAGGGTGGAGGATGGTGGAGGATGGTGGAGGGTGATGATAGGGACAGGGAGGGCTGGCGAGGTAAGGAAGGGGGGGGGGGACGATGGTGAAAGTTTTAAGGACGTGGACAGAAAGTCGTGGTGGGATACGCTTTTGAAAGAAAAAAAAGATTCGTCTTAAGGGGGGAACGAAAACTGGTGAGTGAAGTTGCCCGTGTTGATGTGGGGTGGGAGTTTATACCAAACGTGAGGGGAGCCAGGAAGGAAACGTGACCGAGAACGTGGAGGTGGTGGAGGGGTGATTGTGAGGTACAATCGAGATTGTGTCCGCGAATTAAGCACGGGTATTAGTCTCGTCGCGGCAACAGATTGGGATGGAATTCCAAAGTCAAACACAACATGCTGCATCTACCATCACGGTAATTGAACAGAGTAAGGATTAGCAGAAACCGTGGGTCAGTGACATATGTAGAAGTATCAAGGGATGAAGTTTATGAGATTGATAATACAGTAAAGTAAGTGAATGAACAGGAGTGCTTAGGGCGACTCTAAACTGTTTTTCATTTACTAGGTAAGGCCCACTGAGCAATGCAGCTCTTTTTAAGACGCGCCCTGGCCACAAACGATACCTCAACGAAGTGGCTTATCATCACGTAGAAATTCCTAGCAGCCGAATACTCCAAACGCATGGTGTTGATTCTAAATGTGGAGGAGAAAAACCGGAGGATCCGGAAACAAATCCACGTTGACCACAGTGAGACCATGAAATCTGCAAATATACAGGCGTCGGGATCGAACCCTACGACCTGTATACCAGGCGAGGTAGTTAACATCTCGTCACCGTAGCACCCGTGATTCAGCAGGTGCAGGGTCATAATGGAATTGCTTCATCGTTGGAACATCGGTCGTGCAGGAGCCAGGACCTCGACGGCTGAATATGTCACCAAAATAGTCAAACTCTGGCTGAACTAAAGTGGTCATAATTTATCCGAGGTGCAAAAAAAGCTTCGTCTCAAAAATCGAAAACCGAGCTTGTTAGATGCCTCACAGCCTAATTGGTCAAAGGAGCCATTTCACGACAAGCCGGATTAAAAAAAAAAGGTAATTGGTGCAAATTAATGGAATATTAGGGTGCCACTCGATACACATATGAAAACGCGGAGTCGACAAGTCGCCTGTCGAATAATACTTGCCGGCAGCGATATCGATGGTAACCAGGAATTACGCTCGGCGATGGCGACGCTTATCGATGTTGGCAAGTCACTGCACAGAAACCAGGAGCAAAATACTGAGTGTTACACAAAATTCGATTCTGGGGCCTCTTAAGCCTCCGCACTGGTGGTATGACCTAGAAATGGGCGGTATGGTCGGTTGGCATCGCCGAGTCTTGGTTCATTCAGAGCACGCGTGTGCTCTGCCAGCGGTGCTGCGCTTAGCCAAAATGCCCTCTTCGCAATGACGGGGACGATGGAGAGGTTTGTACCATTGTGATGGGGGCAACCACCTTCTGGCACGTGTGTCAAGGTGCTGCTCATTCTTCATCCTCATCGAACCAGAAAGCACCGCAGGGGATGATGCAGCTCGCACAGATTTGTGCCTGGACCCTAGATGTGGGAAACGCTGCATCCGAATCACTCTTCTGAAGGGTGATATGGTGGCACTCCGTGCATTGCCTGCACGGTTTGCCGTGTGAGACATGGCTTGGGCACAGATGGGTGGGCGATACTGGACCATTTTGCGCACTCTGGGGCAGCAATGTCCTGACGCAAGTTTTATAGTCACTAGCTGGTTTTCTTTTTATGCTTCCTGCTCAAAAACGCTCTTCCAATTTAAAACACTCTTCCAACTTGGGAGAGTGTCTTTGGGCAGGGGAAAAAAAACCCAGCCTTTTTTTTATCAGGCTCTGCACACGGTGCTGCAGACAACGTTGTCACAGGAGATCTATCTCCTTGCCGTGACTCCAGGACGTGCCGAGCTGTCGAATCTCCACGGGGTTTCCCGGTGGCAGTTATCGTCAACATGCTTGCCCTCCACGCGAACGAACTCCGGACCGTGCCTCGATGCCGCCCCGAGCGCTCATGAAGCCAAAAGTCGCCCTCCGAACGAACCGCCTGAGGAAGGGGGTTAGGGTCAGGTGACGTCCACCTTCTTTCCAAAAGCCCTCGGTGACTTCTGTCCGAAAAGCACCCTTCAAAAGTTGCGCACCAAGAAAACCCATTCAGATTAGCAGCTCAACGCGTCCTGCAATCGCAGGAAGGGGATAGATCTGCCGTGACGACTTTGTCTCGCAGCACCATGTGCAAGAGCCTGATTAAAAAAATGTATATTTCGTGGGTACAAGCACCAGCTAATTCACAGGCTAGCAAGTGAAGTGGCAAAACTTTAATTGATTTTGTTGCCGAAATATAATACACTTCACAGTCTACAGCATTTTAAATGATTATCACGTAAATCATTTTTATTGGGCACACAATTAAATTGGTACCACGAGTATCTTTGCCACCTCACTTTGGCACCGACTTGGGCCCACGATTAGTCCTTCAACGCACACGTCAGCGACGCGGCAACCATTGCTAAGAGGTTGAGACGGACGTCACCTGCCCACCGTGCCCCACCCCACCCAAGATGTTCAGCCTCTGCGACTTTTTCACATCATCTCATATGGCCGTGCGCTGCATCGCGAGTGGTCGAATGTTCGATTTATTTCAGCGATTTTTAAGACGCACTTAAAACTTAGAATGTATGAACGAACCCTTTGCCAAATTTAGTTCTGACGGCTACTTTAGCGAGCAAAAAAGTCATAAGCGCTACGAAATAATAAATACAGAGGTTATTGAAACCGATTTCAGATATTAATTGCACGTTTAATATATATTTTTTACTTTACGCTGTCACGTAGCAATGAATGTCATCATGAATTTGAGGTCTTTTTCTGTGTATTTATCATTCTTAAAAAAGGTACGGCTGTGACTCAAAGCAAGGCTACACTTACACAAAATAGTCACAAGTATCTAAAGCATAAGCACCATGTTCATAGACCTACCCATGCTTTTCTCTCATCACGCTAACTCATCCAAATATAAAAATATCTCCCTCCTTTTGTGAACTCTGGTGCCAAAACAAAGCGCCACGGTGCAGAAGCTACACTCGCCCGCTTCGTGCCGGTAAAAAAATAAAATTGTTTAATCCACCCAAACACACAGTGACATTCAATGACCAGACAATATGCCAGTATTGTAGTACATACACAGCACACGCAGCAAACACTTTAAAATAAAAACGATGAAAGTTAATGATATACATCGACATCTCTTCACAGTAGTATAGCATTAATATTTAGCAGGACTGTCTGACAGTCAAGTAAGGGGGCATTACGCCCTGGTGTCCACAATGCCCGCAACATTTCCATGCGGTGGTGCAAGCTTCACACAGCATCCGCACCAATCGGATACTCCGACCAAGGCTCTAAAACCTCTCCTCCGTGACCCGCTTGCATAAAAGCACCTCGAGTATTTGTTTTATCCATACTTGTCTAAAATAACAAGGGCAAGTTCACTGCGGGTGTCTTTTTAATGCCACGGGGCCACAGCAGCCTTTGCGGCCTTCCTCGTGATGAACCCTGTTGTGCGTGGCGCGCGGCGGCCAGATGGGGCTCTCGAAAGACGGCCGGCGAGACGAACCGGGAGTTCCGTCGTAGCAACGGCAGCATCGATGGTCGAGTCGACTCAACGTGGACAATGCAGACGGTCCCGCGGGAGGTCGGAGTGACCCGTCACGGGAGCCAGTTCCGCTTGGCTTCAAAATCTCACCCGCCGGTGAACCTGCAACCATTCACAGCTTTACAGCGACACGCCCACCGACGGATGCAAAGGTGGCGTCGGAAGCTACGCAGGGAAGACCCTCCCCCACCCCCCCCAAACTCATTGGGTCGGAATCGCCCGCAGAGAGAGCACCGATGCACCGTTGCAGTAAACAAAAAAACCTAGACTACAGTCTGCATGACTTGAAGACTTCCCCAAGTGCTCGTTTAACAAGCCGCTTGACCCACGCGAGCACCACTGCCTCCTGGGCCGAGGTCGCCTCGGACCATCTGTCAATCCCTCGCACTGAAGTGGCACCTGCAATTGTCACAGACGGCATTGATTCGCAACCGTTGGAACCGGTCACAATCTGCATCGCTTTAACTTGCAAACTAGATTCGTCTTGCAAGTACACTTCGCAGACGCTGCTGTGCAAAAAAAACTGTGTACGGTTTCAATAAGATGGGAGTGTACACTTTAAAGTTTGCAAAAAGCGACCGAATGTATAATAGCAGAAAAGGATGTGTTGAGGCACAACAGTGTGATTATAAAATATTAAACCTGCATTCTCAGAATAAAATAATGTAATACCTTAGATTCTTTTCACGATTATAAACACTTTGAAAAATAAATCATCTGTTTCGGCGCTAAACTTCCACGGCGTGTGTAAACTCGAGGCATGTGTCTCCAGCCCCCCTTCCCGGCCTCCTCCTGCGTGAGAGATGGTGGTCGCTTGGCTTGGCGAGCGCTCGTTTTTCCTGGCTCACGGTCAGCGCACGGTCGGCGCACGCAAGTTCGGGTCGATGCGCCGCTCGCTCCGCGTCCTGGGCAAGTCCTTCCCGTTCATCGCAATGCTTGCCAGAGAGCCCTCCCCCCGGCGTCTCCTTGAACGGGTTTTGCCGACGAGCTTTCACCTGGCGGACGATCCGTCGACGGTGGAGATTGCGTCGAGTTGCGGAAGCGTTTGCGGGGTTCCTCTTCTGGAGTGTAAAAAAAAAAAAATCGAAATTCGTGGGCCGTGGTCGTGAGGAGCGGCCGTGGTCGTGAGGAGCGCCCGTGCCGGGAACCGATTGGCCGGTCCCCGCTCGTCGCCTGCACCGCAGCGCGTTTTTTTTGTTTCTCGCCGTGAATGGTGGGGGGGGAAAAAACAGAGCCGATCCTCCCCGACACCGGGGGGAGGAGAGAGGGTGGGGGGGGGGCTCACCCCTCGCTTCCGTTTGTAGCCGCACCGCCTGGGTCACTGTGCTGCTGGGAAAGATCACGAGGGGGGGGGGGGGGGCGGGAAACAACAGCAAGATGAGTGACCGCGACGCTAGAAACTGACGTTTGGCACAAATGTAGTTGAGGCTATGGTTATAGCTAGAAAAAAACTTAAAAATGATTTTATTCAAAGTTAGATCGCTCGTAATATTTCATTCAGAGGTTCACTGGTTGGTGTTTTACTCGTATGTCAGGGAGACAAGCCTCAAGTTCGAAATTGCTGTAGATCTCATGGCACGTGTGCAAGAACAATCATCTCTGTCAGTCGTGAGCCCAACAATTTGGCTCCCGTGGGATGCGATACTAATGCCAAAAGAAAATCCCACAACCAGTTGCTGGAATATATACTCGGAAAGTCTGTCGATGCGCAAGCGGTGTGCGTAGAGGTTCCTTCTCCAAGAAAAGTCGTATCGGCTGGGTCATGTAAGCCCGCATGCCTAATCACCTTCTGTTTGGCTGGATAAAAAGTGGGACAAAATAGGCATGACATTGGCTGTGGAAGAGATGGGCTGTAGAGGTAAAGTAGACTCCCTCCACCCCCCACCCCCCAATTGAGTGGTGCAAGTGGTGTAAAGATTGGCTTCTTTGCCAAGGACTTTGTCAAAGACCCAACGGAGCAGTTTGGTGGTAGCCGCCCTCCAACAATGGAAGTCAGCGGAGCGCAAGGCAACGTGCCAAAGTGCCAGGTAGCGAAAACGCGGCAAGCGGCCAGTGCCGGCGGTGCGCATCTTGCCTAGCCACCTAAATCGATTTCCGGATATGCTCGTTGTGTAATGAGGTGTCAACGTGCAACGTGAAGGATTTTGAAGGCAAGGTGACGCGCCGAAGGTCTATGTCTTTGCTACGTATGCTGGGTAAGCACACACGCACACGAACGCGCATTTTGCAATGCAAACGATGTTGAAAGGAGATCGTACCGAAAGGGCACGCTTTAAACTCTGCGGTAAGCGGAACTCGCCATTCTTTATCTGAAAAATAAAAGACGAAACGCGCAATTACAAACATTGCCCCGACAATTGCACAAAGATGAACCACCTTTTACAGAGCTCAACCCACAGAGGGGTACGCGGACAAGAGACTGAAGCGATGACAAGTGGCTGTGTTAGGGAGTCCATCGTCAGGATTTGACCGTGTTCGACTGCGAGTTGGGCACTCTGCCAATCCTCCACCGTCAAAGTCCACAGTTCACCTCCAAAACCGAGCTTCAAAGCCACTGAACCCAAGTGGGAAGGAGGCACGTGGTGGCATCAGGAGACGTGGGTGGGGAGGTGCGAGGAATTTTCTTGGTTTTCTTGGGGAGGTGGTATTGGGTGCCATAGGGTGGTGCCGGGAGGTGTGGGATGGTGAGGGGGGGCATCGGGGCCGCGTTAAGACACGGGTTGGACGTGGGGAGATGTGGTATGGCGAGGGGGTTCGTGTGGCATGATGGAGTGGCTGTGGGAGGCACTGGAAGAGATTGGGATGCGTAAAGTCACAAGGGGATGCACGGGGCAGCATGGGGAGGAAGAGGGATGGTGTGGAGAGATGTAGAGAGAGATCAGTTTAAACATGTAGGCTTTCGCAACCAATATCATCCATAAGAGGTTTTTTGGGTTAAATCACCCAACACAGCCAACTAAGTAAGGGTTGTCACGTAAACAATATTACAATTCATCACTAGTCCAACACACCGGTGTGCTGTACTAGTGACTAAATGGCACGTTCTGTTTACGTGACAACCCTTACTAGTTGGCTGTGTCGGGTGGTGGCGGGTTTTAACGACACTTTTATATATTTACGCGATCTAACCCAAAATAAACCCTTATGGATGTAGAAAGATGTCGAATTAAGTAGGGGGGAGGGGGGATATCTGTGGGAGGCGTGGCGAGGTGGAGAAAGGTGTGTGCAGCGGCCTACCCGCCGGGTGTTCTCCAGCACGCGGGGATCGGGGGAGCCGTAGTTGGGGGGGTTGGCGTACGGGTCGTAGCCCAGGCGGCTCAGCATGGGCGCGACGTGCGCCATGTCCCGCACCACATCCTCGGGGATGCGTCCCACCCACTGCGTGAGCGCCTCCAGGTTCACCGGCTTCACCACTTGGTCTGTGGACCTCTCCACCCTGACGCACGCACGCACGCACACACACACGCACGCACGTGAATCGTCAACGACTTTGCGGCAGAGGAGCGTCGCGGCCCCGTGCCGGGCGTTCCGTGCCGTGCGCGCCCTCACTTGGAGAGGGAGATGCCGCCGGCCTTGCCGACCATGTCCTCGTGCCGCAGCACCACGTCGTCCCACGGCACGTCCAGGAAGCGCAGCACGCGGCGCAGCACCGACTCGGGCTGCAGCACCAGCTGCTCGTAGTAGACGGGGAGGCAGCGCAGGGAGCCCACGGCCACGCACTGCGTGTACATGATCTGCACGCACGCGCACAAAACGCGTCCGCGCACGTGAACGCATGCCCATGCGAGCGAGCGTACCGCACATGTGCGCCATAGGGCTGAGATGATTGGTCGATGACGTCAATTCATCGAACGGGAATCGTGAGCGGGCTATGTTTTTTGCGGTCGATTACTCGGGTTCTCTTTAGAAATGGCAACCAGCCCGAAGACTTCTCAGATGCAGGAAACCCCCTAAAAAAAAAACCAGGGTTATGACATCACAAAGTCCTGCCCATAACCCCTCGTCCAGCGGCACACGTGGTAATGGAGGCGAGAGGTTTCGTTCCGGCAAACTGAGCAAACCGATTAGTCGAGCAATCAAACCGACAACGAGTAGCGCGATCCGCTGCTTACCAGCGGTCAATTACGATTGCTCCAAATCAATCGGACGGCCCAGCCGCGACGTGCATGCCGGAGTGTGCAGCACGCACACAATCGCACACAATCGCGCGCTCGCACACAAAAACAAGTGCACAGACGAGCAACGCGCACACGTGCGAACACCGCCCAAGTACGCAATGGACCAACGCACATGCACGAACATCTTCGTCATCGTCAAACCCAGTATCGAAACTCACGCTTATGGTGAACGCAAAGTGGGGGGGGGGGGGGGGGCGGAAGGGGCACTCCAGTGGGAAATTCACTCTTGACAGGCATTTGTGGGTTTAGCCACCCCATCAAACGGTCAGACGCTGCGATTGATCTGGAGTTCGCCGGAGGGCTATATCTCCTTAATTAAGCACCATCCTTCATCAGATCACAGGTTTTTTTTAATCCTTTATATTAAGTTCACTTGCTTGCTTGCGTGCTTGCTTGCTTGCTTACGACCGTGCAAATTTTTCAGTCGTTTTTTAACCCACTTCCCGTGATCCATTCGAGCTGACATTTTGCACACAGACTCGTTGTGCGTGACAATTAATTTTCGTGAAAAAAATTCCAAAATTTTACACTGTTTAGGGAAATTTTTTTAAATATTTAATTACCAATTGCTTAATGGTGGCAGACAATCATCTGACCCATAGGTGGCAGCCATCTCAAGCCAGAGAACGAGAGGACTCTAGCCGCCACGCATATAAAGGATTTATAGTGAAAAACTTTGTTTTTACGGGTTAACTTTTTTTACACCAAGTTTTCAGCCTACACAAACAACACAAACAACAATGTGCCTCGTCCCATACGTCTGATGGCCAGCTCTGTGTCAGTGCATTGCTTTATGGGACAACAACAACAAAACCTTTGTAAGAACAAACGAAAAAATTTAAACGGCCACCTCGTCACCTGTAATTGAGCACAGGCTCAAGGCGGTCATCACGGCTGAAATAGCTTAACAATGGACAATTGCCTGCAAGGTGGGTGCGTGCGCGCACGCGTGCGTGCGTGCGTGCGGGATTCACAAGACATTGATTTTAAATCAGGGCCAGGCCAGCAGGTAGGGGGGGGGGTCACTCTCTCTACACAGACACACAAGGGCACGGGCACACGAGAACATTAGGCATTCCGCACGCTCGCCCCGGCCACAGCGACACGGGCGATGCGGTGGGTGGGGTGGTGGGTGGGTGGGGGGGAAGGCTGCCGTTTAAAGACTATTTGGCTGCTATTAAATTTCCACGCAACGGCGGGCCACATCGTTGAGTTATCGTTTGTGGCCAGGTTCGCTTCTGAAAAAGAGGACCGTAGCTCAGTTGGGCCTTACACCTCCTAAATTAACATTTTATGTAAAATGTGGATGGCCAGGCGGTGAGCGAACGTTCTCCGGGGACACATTACATCTCCCCGCTCTTAATCAGCTCGAGCCAGCCCTGGCTTTTACACACGGGGGGGGGGGGGGGGGGGGGGGGAGCCGTTACACTCAGAGAGAGCCCAATGTCGTCGTCACAGCCGCGATGCTGAGATGCGGTGTGGGTGGTGTCCCTCTGTGAATGCCACGGAAGTGGAGCACGGGGGGGGCGGGGAAGTGGATGAGGCAGGACAGCAAGTAGGTTTCCTCACGTGGCCTCTCACACGCCGCGCCTCTGTGGGATTTTGAACGCCTCCCCCTCCTGAACGCCTCCTCATTCAGTATGCTGAATGAGGAATTGGCCATACATAGCAATGGGAGTTTAACACGTAGGCTTTCGCGACCAATATTATCCATAAGAGAGGTTTTTTTGGGTTAGATCGTGTAGATATAAATGTGTCGTTAAACCCGCACCCACCCGGCACAGGCAATTAGTAAGGTTCGTCACACACCGGTGTACTAGTTCAGCACACCGTGACATTTTGCCGCCAATAATCTTATCTTATACAACCAGCCTCATCGGGCGACAGCCAGAATTGTTTCGCTCTTAAATGCCATCTTCAGACTTCCGGAGTGCCATTCCTGGGACACATGAGGCGCGACCGCCACCGCGATCGGTGGACAGAGCGAGAGCCCGCGCGTTGTGTGCGTGCCGAGCACTCGCAAGGCGTCGCCGGGTACACATTTCTAGCGGCCAAGGAGGGCGCGACACGGACCTTTTGTATTCGTAGCGGCCCGTGGGCAAGGCGAGCGCGAAATCGTGTCCGAGCGGAGGTTCGCGCAGGCAGCTGTGAGCGTGCGGCTGCTGCGGCGGCCTCCCCACAACAAGCTCGCAGCCATAAAAAGCGTGCCACCCAGCGATGCCGTCGGGTCCGTTTTGCAGCATTGCTTGTAAACGCGATCGCCAAGGCTCACCTCGACACCGTGAGACAGCGGTGATACTTCGGCGTAACGCTGCCAAATTTGTCAAAATGGTGACCTTGACGAGTGCCCTACCTACCACGGGTGGGCAGGTGGGCGAGGCACGGGGATCGCGCTGTCGACGCGAAGCAATGCGAGGAATGTCGCAATTTTATAGCGCATCTACGTGCGACCTCAACACGTGGCCGAGAGAGGTTATGGCCAGAAGACAAAGGAGGAGAATGAGACCTTGTCATGAAGGTGGGAATGGAGATTAAATTGAATGGAGATCATTTAAAAATCGCCCATGCCTTTACTTCCAATGCGCAAACCGCAGAGCACGTCCCCGACGCGCAGCTTCAAGGGACAGTGCAGCCGAGTGCATGTGACGGAGCCAGCGATACGTTCAAGTGCTGATCCCTCAAGGGAGCCCTTGGAATTGAGCGGAGAGGCGGAGGCAGCCACGCAGACACCTGCCCCGCCACGATCGCACGCACGCCTCGCACGCACGCACGCACGCACGCACGCACGCACGCACGCACGCACGCGGCGTTTTAACGGGCAAGCTCTGTGCCGGGGTGGGGTTGGGTTGCGGTGGAGCGGCGGTTGGAACAGGGCGCTAAGAAACCTGGCAACTTCCAATTTGACGCCCGATTTCCTGTATGTGAACAATATTCGTTGCAAGTTGATATCGTAACCAATTCTGGGGCCTCCACAAGTCAACTCCGGCTTAAAAAAAAAAAAAGTACTTTGCGATGCGCGTACGCATCAGCACTGGGGAAACAAATGTGGTCGTGCGCGGTGCTGAACCAACCACCCGCTGCCAGGCGCTTGCTAAGAGCGCTTGCCCCAACAGTCCATACAGGGGTTCTTCGTCATTGTGTGTTGTGGGGGGGAGGGTGGGGCAGGGTGGGGCGGCACGGGGCGGCACACACCTCGATGGCGCGGCTCCACTTGGAGAGGCAGTCGCGGTAGCTGGAGAGGTCGAAGCCGGCGATGGTGACCTTGCGCGAGATCATCGAGTGCACGGAGGCCCGGCCGTCCCGCAGCATGAGCAGGAAGCGTGCGCGCGGGAACAGGCGCCCCAGGTAGACGAGCGACTTGAGCGCAAATGGGTCCTTGTTGCAGAGACGCTGCGCCGGCTCGCCGTGACCCGCGATTATCTGCGCGACACCACAGCAGCGATCGCACCGTCACCCCGCGGGGAGCATTTACCGCCGTTCCTTCATTCACCTCGGTCATCTCGCTTGTGCTTTGGGAAAGTGATTTAAATGAGGCCACGAAACAGAGGCGGATCTCGAAACTTACCATTGGGGGGTTTTGCGTGTGGTGCGGTGCCAGAAGTTCAAGCTTTTTAAAACGGGCCCAACAGGAATAGAAAAAAAACCACATTCACTGCATGTGTCTGTCCCTTAATTCAGCAGCATGCACGTGAACGAACGACATGCGAAGGTTTTGTGCTGTGATTCAGCTTGAAAAGGGGAAATTCACTTCTGAGCTGTCTCTCATCGGATAAAAATAAATTGCAGGTACCAATGGACTCAGAGCAATCCATGGGCTTTTTTTTCTTATTCAGAACAGGAGGAAGTTCAATCGGATCACGGTAGGAAAACACTGCTGGTGAATTCACAATTAAAAAAACGGCAATTACCAGTAAGAGCTAATAGACTGAGTGATTGATTTCTCTATCGATCGCTCGTTAGGGTAAATGCGGGGGAACAGCTGGCTGCTCTGACATTAAACGCAACATAAAGAGGCAAGAGGGGCCACACGAACGGGGTGGGGAGAGGGCTCCTGGCCCCCGTTTCGCTTACAGACTCGGCAGCTCCAAAAACCTGGGTTCAAGCCCCCCGGTTGGGCCACAGATAATTGGCTTTCGACACTCCAGCACAGTCCCCCACCCTCCCGACCCCTCTCGGCGGGGCTTGCCGCAGTGCAGCTGTCAATGTTTACAGGGGGGGCGACTCGTGCTACGCCGCTCCACATTCCGTAGGACACGGAGTGGTGCTCGTTCTCGTATCCATCTTTAAAGAGGAATGGCGAGAGGAGGACGGCGGACGGGCCAACGTTCGAACCAGGAGCTTGAACGCAAACGCCTCGCGAGGGTGAAACCGAGTTGCCCCCCACGGGCTCAAGGCTGTCACGCCGTCAAAAAAACAGAAGTAATGAATGCACTGAAGAAATACGGTGGCAGTTAATCAGGACCGACCGTTCCCGGGGTGGTGGGGGGGCCGGGCGGTGGGGTGGCGATGGGCTAACGTTGCCGTGAAATGGAGCAAAAGGGATGAGCAGTAGGGCATTTCAAAAATGCATCGGTTAAAATTGATCATTTCGCTTTGGGGTCTCGTTGCTCGGAATTTCTCTCCCCGTGTGCTTCTACTCTGCTCCTCTTCTCAAATCACATTCACTCGGCAGTACAGGTAGTCCTCGATTTACGAACGAACGCACTTACGAAAGCCTGCATTCACGAACCAGCTTCCATGAAATTGTTTTTTTTTTCACATTACCTTAAAACGCAAACTCTCGTTTGCAAATTGAACCGCGTCACTATTTTGTTTGGCCTCGTGCCGGGAGCGAGTGTTTGTGTGTGTGGGCATTTAAATTACACAGTAGATCACCGTGTTCTGACTTACGAACCCGTTCGGCTTACGAACGGGTCTCGGAAACTAATTGTGTCCGTAAGTCGAGGACTGCCTGTACTCAGATCTCGTTCCACTACTCCATCTGCCCTGCACCGGCAGCTCCACAGCTAAAGTTATAATTGCCCAAAACATCGAAGTCTCAGAAATCCCCACCGAAACTCTCAACTTGTGCATTCCCCCTCCTTTCCCTTAGAGCGTTTATTTCGGCCTTCCCATCTCTGCTCTTCAAGCCTCTATCTTCCTTCATCGGTCTTTCTTTCTTAATTGTCCACACCACTGCACCATATAACAGCACTGCTGATTGGCTGCAGCATTTATGTTTATTTCTCATGGCAGCGGCGTGAAGGTGGTGGTGAGTTGGGGGGGAGGTGGGGTGGTTAGGAGTTTGGGTGAGCGCTGCCGATTTTCGCGACAGTGCCGTGATGGAGGTGGCCATGGCAGTGGTGGCGTGCGGTTCGCTGGTCGTATTTCTTTGTAACGGTCTTGTGAAGGTATCGGTGCATCTCGCAACGGTGCTGCAGTGGTCGTGACGATGCGTACGTAAAACTTATTTCGCACCGCACGTAGCCAACCGCGCCAAAAAAAATCGGGAGGTGCGGCTCCTCCTCACCTGCAGGATGAACGCGCGCACCGCGTCGTCGAGCACCCGCTCCGTGACGCCGGCCTCGTCGAGCCGCACGCGCTCCCGCTCCGAGCGCGCCCACGCCTCGCGCATGGCCAGCAGGCGCGGAACGACGCGGGTCTCCTCCCCGCAGCGCACCGCCGGGTGCGCGTCCAGCATGGCGCGCATCAGCGTCGTGCCGCTGCGCGGGACGCCGCCCACAAACACCAGCTCCGCCTGCTCGTCCAGCTCCAGCAAAGGGCCGCCACCTAGCACGCGGCACGCGACATGCAGCACGTGGCACATGGCATGCGGCACGCGGCACGCGACACACGGACAACGGCGTCAACAGCAGTAACAACAGCGGCCATCACCGCGGCGTTCGCGCCAGCCTCGGAACGCTTTGATGACGCGTTTATAACAAGGGGTGCTAAGGGTCACACGGGTTAACCCGACCGAGATGATGGGCAGATGCACCACCTGTGCTCCCCACCACCTGTGCCAAGAGTGGCACTGTTGGCACAGAGACATCCCGACGTACGGATATGCAGCTAGACACAGACGCATGACACGCTCGCACAGATATGTACAAGAAAGGAAAAGAGCCACTGCTGAGGCTTATTAGCCATGAGGACAAGCGCTGCAACAGAGCATCTATGAAGGGCGGTGCGAGGCACGAGTGGGTGGTGTGGCCAGGATCACACCCGCCCACCTTTGTTTCCCCAGTGCTGATGTAAACACACCACACGAAGCCCAGGACCGGTTTCGACTCCAAGCTGGCCCGTCAGCGGGAATCGAACTCGGGTGAGTTGGGTTTGTAGTGCAGTGCGCTGACAACTACACTTACCGCTATCCACGCGAGTTCAATAAAAATTGGACACATTTCAACGTACAGTATAAATAATTTCAAGAACGTGTTCAAATTGGAAAAAATATATATATAAATGTATGCGTGTTGTGAGCGTGATCCGAGACATCTCTGGCTGATTCAGTTGGCTGCTATGATGAGGAAGTTCACGTGGGAGTCTAAATTCCTGCACTCAACATCGATTCATCTCGCGGGCTCCCTCGCGCCCTGTCGGTTCACTTTGCTTTGAGTAAGAGTCACGTGCTCGCTGTGCCCTGGGAGGAGAGTCTCTGTACTCATTAATTAGGCCCCAAATGTCACCGCACTTTCTTTTCCACAACTTTTAGCAATGATCGCAGAGCGGCACAGAAGCAAGGCCCGATGGCGCAGGGAAGCGAGCGAGTGTTCGAGGCGATGCGCGTTTCCTGCTAACGTGGCCAGAAATGAATTATAAAAAATACATTTTTTATTTTTATAATTCATTTATCAGGCAAAGCCCACCGATCTATTAGCGCTTTGTCATAGGCGCCCTGGCCACGCACGACAGCTTATTAAAGTGGCTTATCATGTGGGAATTTATAGGAATAGCCGAATAATCTAAGCGCACGTTTCTAAGTGGAGGGCAAATAAAAACCCAGAGGACCCCGATCAAAATCCACGCAACCATGGGGAGAACACGCAACCTCCAGATATGCCTGCGTCGTCAGGGTTGGGATGGAACCCTCGTGCTCCTACATAGCACGCGAGAAATAAGACCATCATCCAAGTGAGACGTTCTCATCTCCGTCAACCCATGGCACCTGGGTCTGTCCCGTGAACTCCTGAGGCCACTTCACGTGGCCTCAAAGTGCACCTAGCCTGGCACACCGAGTTATTCGCTCTTTTTCAGAGGCGACCTGGCCACGCATATGACAGCTCATTTAAGTGGCTTACCATCACGTGGGCATTTATATTCGCAGCCAAATAATCTAAAACGTGGTTTTTATAAATTGAGGAGGGAAAAACCGGAGAACAATCCTCGCGACCATGGGAGAGAGAACACGCAAATTCCAAATATACGGTTGATGTCAGGGTTTGGATTGAACCCACGATCTTCTGCGTGACAGGCGAGGGAGATAACATCTTGCCGTCACATCTGAGCAACGAGCCTTTCATCCTAGTGATCGAAACGAGTATGCACTGGGGGATCGTAACTTTGTACCCCTGACTTCCGATAACTCGGTGACACAAAACTAAGCATCAGCTGGAGTTTCAACAGAACTGCTTGTGCACATGGGTGTTGTTGAATGCATGTGTGCATGTATGTACCTGTTAGTGTATGTATCGGGAGCGGTAGTGTAGTGGTTAGCACGCTGCGCTACGAATCCGGTGAACCAAGTTCCATTCCTGCTCAGGGCCAACACCAGTGAAGATTATCTGAACTCGGTCCTGGGCCTCCCCTAGGTCGACTCAGCCTCAAATGAGTACCTGATACGGTGTGTTAACATCGCCACTGGGGAGACAAAGGCGGTCGGGCGTGGTGCTGGCCACCCACTCCCTCGTGTGCCGTTCCGGCCTTCATAGGTGCTCGATAACAGCCCTTACCCCAACAGTCTGTTGCAGGCTATACAGGGATCATCGTCTTTGTTAGTGTATGTACCTATTAACCTTTGTATATGTGTGCGTGCGTGCGTGCGTGCATTAAATTGTCCAAGGTTATAAAAACTTGGGGAAAGAGACGAGGAAAGGGGAATTCTAAAGTAGAGCAGTGCAAGACAGGAACAGGAAAGAGAAATGAGGTGAAGCAGTCTGGCAGACCGAGTCCTCATCACGAGTGGAAGAATCAACGAGTGAAGTTCGTGGCAACAGTAACCGTGGTGATAGCGAGAGAAGAGTGAGGAGGAGGTGACCGACCGCCACTGAAGCGAATCAGCGAGCACTGGATCATCAATCAACGTGGAGGGCTTTACATTGACTTCCACCAAGTACAGAGTGCAGTTATGACAACAGGTTCCGAGTCTGTGCTTTGTACAGCGTTAAAGAAGGTTTTGGCAACGCTTCCGGTAACCCAATGTCACAGGCGTGAGCGATCACGTGTCCGTTGCGTGGCAGTGGTTCCCAGCCAGAGGTCCGCAGACTGCCCATCGTTCGAAAGGCCTTGGGAGAAATTGTTCAACTCCTGCAGATATTACTCCGAAACTCCACCGTTTGTTTGCACAACCCGGCAGCATCGGCCAACTTGCTCGTGCGAGCCATTAACCTGCAAAAGTAATTTTTTTATGGATTTTGAATGAATAATTGACAGCACTTTAAGTAGTTTTGCATGTTTTTAAATGTTTTATCAGGGCACGGCGATACCATTTGTCTGCGGGTCTAGAAAAGGGAGAACACCAATGCTGTAGCGGCTTAGTGCAGGGAATGGCTCGTGTCAAACACCACAGAGGTTGCACAGGGATACAAGGCCGATTCAGGGCACCTCCAATTAGCACGGTCGGCTACGTACGGCGCGAAAGAAGTTCAACACACAGGGCACGGTCACCGAGAGCCAGCGGCGAAGAAGGGACCGCACACAACCACGCGTCCGTACCATTCGCGGACGCGGAGCGGTTGTGGGAGAGGCCTGGGGAGAGACGCACGGAGACGCGGGCCCGTGACCCCGAGTGGCACTCCAGCGACTGCTGCCCCACGTAGAGCACGGCGAACAGGCACGCCAGGCCCGACAGCACCAGCGCGGCCCGGCGGCCCGGCCACCGCATGGCGGCGCTCGCCACGCTCCGCGGGCCGCACGCCTCGCCGTGGGGTGGGGGCCCTCCACAGACCGCGAAGGCCTCACGGGCCGCACGAGACCCGTGCCATCGCGAGGCGGCTCCGGGTCACGGCGACGGCGGCCGGGGTCACTCGACAGCCAGGGGGACAGACCAAGCGGACCTGGGAAACAAAATCAACGTCGTCATCACCTTTAACTCCCACGGCCACACAAACGATACCTTTGGCACCTCCCATGACGTCCCATGCAAAATATTTCAGTTTGACGTTTTAACGTCTTAACACCCCCTGGTTTATTGGCAGAAAGGGTAAAACCTATTCTTATTTTTTGATACTGGCAAGGGAGGTCCCCATGATGATGTCGCTGCTCACCGAGCACTCAATGTCCTGATAGTGGCATTGTGTCTTTGTGCTTATTCTTTGGGTCTTTCGGTAAAGCCACGTCGATAGAAAAATAATACAAAAATATTATTAAAAAGAATAAAAATATTATTATTACAAATAATACAAATATTATTATTAAAAAGAATAAAATATTATTATTTAAAATATTATTTTTCTATCCACGAGGCTTTACCAAAAGACCCAAAGAATATGAATTCCTGCAGTCACGAAAGCTTTAAGTCAAGATATGTCTTTGTGCTGTTTGCCTTTTAGCGTCCTCTGTTGAGACGAGGCTCTAAAAAATGCCGTCTCTGGCGTGGACCAATCAGTTTCAAAGACAATGCATCATATACTGTCAGAAGCATGTCTTTTTTTGTTTGCATGTTCACCACGAGTATATGTGGTTGATGCATCAAGTACATGATTCCTTGCAAAAGGTTTCAGTTTGGTGCTTTAATATCTTTACACCTCCTGGTTTATTGCCATTCTTATATTTTGATACCTTTACCTTCTCGATGCTGTAGTTGTGGGCCCCCCACTGCATCCCCTAATAAAGACCCCTTCTCCGATGCCCCTCCCCCCCTCCACCCCCCACATTAGCAGCGTATCCCTCTTTATTGTACAGCATGTGGAACGTACACAGTGAAGTGACTAAATGCGACCCCATATCGAGCTGTATTGTATTTATAATGCACAACCCTCCGGTAAGCACGGTTGGCTACGTACGGTGCGAGAAATAAATTTAACATACGTACACACAACGCACGGCACGGCAACCTCAGAGGAACACGTTTGCAGAGTTACGTGCCAAGAAACCGGAAAACGCAATTTGCAAGCAACAAAACCGTGCCAAGTTACAAAACGTTAGTTGAAGCAATTATTAGAGATGACTGTAAAGCCGAAAGAACAAGAAAACGTTGTCCTATCAAAAACAGTTAAATTGGGTAAACCATTGCAATGTCCTCCCCCTGGCCAGGGCGACCCCATGAGCCAGAGGTCAAGTTCTGTGGGGTCGGCAAAACGAGCCAGAGGTCAAGTTCTGTGGGGTCGGCAAAACGAGCCAGAGGTCAAGTTCTGTGGGGTCGGCAAAACGAGCAAGAGGTCAAGTTCTGTCGGGTCGGCAAAACGAGCAAGAGGTCAAGTTCTGTGGGGTCAGCAAAACGAGCCAGAGGTCAAGTTCTGTGGGGTCGGCAAAACGAGCCAGAGGTCAAGTTCTGTGGGGTCGGCAAAACGAGCAAGAGGTCAAGTTCTGTGGGGTCAGCAAAACAAGCCAGAGGTCAAGTTCTGTGGGGTCAGCAAAACGAGCCAGAGGTCAAGTTCTGTGGGGTCAGCAAAACGAGCCAGAGGTCAAGTTCTGTGGGGTCGGCAAAACGAGCCAGAGGTCAAGTTCTGTGGGGTCAGCAAAATGAGTCAGAGGTCAAGTTCTGTCGGGTCAGCGAAACGAGTCAGAGGTCAAGTTCTGTCGGGTCAACGAAACAAGCCAGAGGTCAAGTTCTGTGGGGTCAGAGAAACCCATTTGAGGCAGCGAGGGAGTCCATCGTTTCCTTCTAAAGGGCTCCTGAGGCAACATTCGTGCTCGTTTCCAGATCTCGTCCAATACAAAGTCGCAAAAACTCACTGGGGAAATATTTCCACCGAATGAATGTGCCAAGCACCGTAATAGAATTAGAGAGTCAACAACTGCAGAATTGCATTTACGCGGGCACTTAATTTTAATCCATCGCAGCAGCGGTGAGGTTTACTCGCCGCGTAAAGCGATGATGCCCATTTGCGCCTCACCCCGACGGCTTTGGGAATTCAATGCGCATCGTCTATTGAGAGAGGAATTTACACAAAGCCTGCAGAGCCTCACTTTTGTTGGATCAAGGGCCCCTTTTACCATTGCTATCACACCGCATCATGCAGTGCTGCAGTCGTACCTTTTTGAAGCGACGGAATGCATCCATACTCTTTGGTTCTTCCGAAAGAACCAAGAGTATGGATCCCTTGCAGTCACGAAAACTTCAAATCTAGAAGGAATGCATCTACACCCCCCCCCCCCCCCGAGGTGTTTCACAGGCCCCTGCAGGCCGCAGTCTTTTGAGGACCCCCTAAATGATGGCCGCAGCAGTGTCTAAGAGTTCCAAAACCTTGGTTGGAGTCATGTTTAATTGCAGCGTAGGGCTACAAAGTGACCAGGAGATGGCAGTACGGCAAGTGGATACCCGACCCATCTGTAGAGACCTTTAAGTGTTATCCCCCACATATGCGTGGGTTTTCTCCGAGTGCTACCATTGCCTCCTACATGCATTGCCTTCTCCCCGACACCTCCAATAAGCAGGGTTGGCTACGTACGAAAGAAGTTCAACACACGTGCGTACAAGTGTGCTCCTTCAAAATAAGTGGCGAGCGGTTTCGATAATGCAGGCGCCGCCCGAGAGCCGTGAGGCTACGCGAAACCTCCCGGGACACATACAAGGCAGCGTAAAGCGTAGGCCTGGCCATAGTTGGAGGTCGACGCGTTACCTCGACACGAACGGTGGCAAAAACGGTCGGGGGACGGATTGAATCCCGTCCCGTCTCCCCCCAGCTCCGCCGCGTCTAGACGGTGCCATCGCGGGGGACACGCTCCACCGCCTGCTGCAATGCAGACGACGTTAAAACACCGACCGATATTTTAACTGCAAGAGCGTGCGCTCGCGAGGGTCGCGTCGCGCCTTTCATTTTGGGAGGTGGGGGGCGGTTGGGGTGGGGAAAGGTATGCGCACAAACAGCGCTCCGTTTACTAAACGTGAACACTAAATGTGCCCTTACTTGTACGCCTGGGTCGGTTACGAACCGCTGCTCAGGTTTAGCCGGCAAGAAAGGGTCGCAAGCCCCCCTAGCCCCCCCGTCGCACTCTCCCCCGCGCATGCGCTGCCATCGAGCGGCGATTAGTGCGGGACGAACGGCTGATTTTTAAAAAGCCAGCAGGCTTGGCAGGCACTGAAGCGGCAATTTGATGGTAGGATGGGGATGATTTCGTTTTGTTTGTATGCGTTTGGGCGATTTGTTTACCTTTCTTGTACTTTGCACTCCCATCATGTTTTTGCACTGTTTGTTGTTGTAACGTTTTTACCCGCCCCTAGCGAATAATCTGTGAGAAAGAGCTTTATAGCTCGTGGGATTCCTCCAGTGTAAATACATCTTCTGATTCTGAATTGGAGAACCTTCTATGCCCCGCGTAGCACCACTTCGCTGTCTCTAGAGCGCCGCGTCGGCACGCCGATGGCACCGTCTCCTGGCGCCTCTCCGTCGCCCGTAGGGAGGCACGGCCACAGGTGCAGTCAGCCACGTCTCACGATTCACGCCCCGCACCTGGACACAGGTATGCACACACGTACCCTTCCCCTCCTTGCTCACGTAACTACCCACTGGTCCAACCACCTACAAACAACCTACCTCTGTATGTATGATGTGGAACTTCTTTCGCATCGTACGTAGGTCAACCGTGTTAATATCGGAGACAACATATAGCTGCCCATCGACCAGCTTCTTATCTACAGAGCTAACTAGCGGTCTGCCTACCTATCTATCTCCAAATGCATCTCCCCATCCACATAGGTGCGTGCATACCCACCCACTCGCACATCACAATCCAACCACATTTACCTCGAAGCTCCCTCTGCAAATACCTGCCCCGCTCTCGTTGCTGCAATGTTTGATTCTTTTTCAACTCCAAAGCGACGTTATCAAAATAAACTGGTTAACCAAAGTACAAACGTTCATGTCTATCCCATCGCAGCAAAATCCATTTCGCCACTGCACAACGCCCAATTCAAAACTAATAAAACTCTCAATGTGATTGAAAAACAATTCTGATTTTAAACGGTTTAATTATTATAAATTGACTAAAATAGTGTTTGTACGCCTGCGTAGTCGGCCGCCTCCCTACAGTCATCTCCATTATTTAACGTTTCATTAAACACATAATGGGACGGAACAAAAGCAATTAGCGTGGAGGTGTCAGACGGCGGCGACGCTCTTGCCAGTGACGTGTTCACGTGGCTGCGATCAACGGAGCACAACAGGCTCCCCCCGTGTGAGGAGGCGCACCGAGGAATCACAACAACGAGTCCCACCGGAGAATAATACCAAAAAGTCACATGGAGGGCTGATCACACTGCGGCGTTGCATCCAGGAGTCGCACGGAGAGAGTCACGTGCAGGAGCCACGAGCAGCATCGTCCGGCACGCACACGCGCATCTCGTATTGTGTACGAGCTGCACACCTGGGCAAACCATTATATTTAGAATGCAGGCGATGCTCACCTCTATTGTAAAACACAAAGACGGGAGAAAGACAAAATAAGTAGAGCGCACGAATTGCTTATGAATATATTTATCTCCACACAGAGGAACCTACGGACACGCTTCTTCCACTCTTGTTTTGCCTCAATAGCGTATGAGCAAGCGGCGAAAGCTCACAAGCCGTCCGTCTCTCTTGCAACTCGTTCTCACCTCCCCTTGGCCCGGAGGGTTACCACCTGGTCCTGGTTTTCTCAGGATACCCTCCCTCTTTACGGGGTAGTTGTGTTTGTGGGAAATCCGCGAGTCTTCCCAATGGCGCTGGAAGTCCCGTCTTCTGTCGGTGGCGTAACTAACGTCTTCTCAAGACCGTGTCGGTTTCTCGCGCCGTAACGATCTCATCGTCGGATATTGGTCAGATAATATTCTTCCGAAGAAACGTCCCGGGATTTTTGTACCTCAGGGGTGGCAAACCCTGAACACGCGGAGCGAGCGTTGCACAAGGAGGAATCGATTCTCGGCGCATACGCTTGGAAGAATTGTCGTGTATTGGCGTGCGATTTTACGTTTAATTATTTTCAGGTCATCTCGGTGGCTTACTCACACTGGTTTTGGGAGGTATTACTACTGTAACAACATTTGTATAATGTTTCTCATGCACACACGAGTTGTATAGAGATGTGTACTATCGTTTCCTCCCACATGCAAAGATTTGCATCAAGGAAGCAGTTGAATATTTTGAAGCAGAAACCTCCTGCAAAGGAGTATTGAGACTCATTTCAGATGTTTCCATCTCAATAAAGAATCACCGTTGCAGAAATAATGTTTGGGTATCACATGGTAATACCGAACCACTTAGTTGATGAAAGTAGTTTTGATAAAGAATATATTTTTCCCCATTACCGGTAACTTCATAAAAAAAGATACAGTTACCACACATGTACAAATGTCTAGAGTAATAACCATGTCTACACTTTTAAACTGAAAAATGAAAAAAAAACTCCCAGGGTCACTCAAGCGGGTAGTACACCGGACTCAAGAGGGGCGTGCCGGTCTCAACGCAACCTCCCGGTGCGGCAGTTTTAAACAACCTGCGCAAGTTTCTCAAAGTACGGCTACGACCCGCCTCTCCAAAGACATCTGTCGATACAGCGTGGAAGAGTAGACCAAATACCCCTTTAGGAAGCTTTCCTCTAGCTCAGGGGTGGGGAACGTCCGGCCCGCGGGCCGTATAAGACCCCGCGAAATCATTTGGTGTGGCTCTGCCAAGGCAACCGCAGGCGGGACTCGAAATTCAATAAATCTAGGAACAAACCTGGAAAAGCAGTTGCGAGTAGCAACATCATCAATACCAGCTAACATCACACGCCTCGCCAAAGAGAAGCAGTTCCAGCCATCACATTAGGGGTGAGTTAATGAAATGTTTGACCAAATATACCAGGCAAATTTTTAAGTTGATAATTTTGTATGGCTCACGAATGATGTTATAAATATCCAAATGGCCCTTGGCAGAAATAAGTAATATTTAAAAGACTTCTTTAAAAACACGCTTTAATGAAATGTACTAGTAATGGCAGAACTCCACGACTCCATGAAGTGGCCCCGAGGCTTGCGATAGCGTAAGGGACCGTGGTCATTTACAGCCAACGTCAGTTGAGCGTGGACAATTAGACCCAAGTCGAAACATAACATATAAAAATGATTGCTTTAAAAATGATTTTATGATAGAATGTGGTATTGTCATCAGTATGACATAAGTATACCAAGTTTGCAGTCGATACCACATTGGGAAGTAGGGTTAAAATTGAGTTTACAAGATTTGAGGACTACAACAACGACAACAACAGAGTGAGTTAATAAAAAAGCGTGAAATAATAATAATTTAAAAAGTTGCCCGCCCTCTGCGTCTAGCTGATGCCCTTTCCTGCCAGCAGTGGCGTGACACGCGAGCGAGCGCAGCACTTGCAGGGCTGCACCTCTATCTGTCAACCGACACTTTGAGTCTTCTGCGCGTGCCAAATCAGCTGCATCCGTTGCCCACGAGTGTGGAGTAGTGTGGAGAAAGGGTCCAGGATCTGGTGATCTCGTATTGTATCGCTCGCTGCTCTCTGGAGAAATTTGGTCATGGTCGTGATGTCGCCCCACCACTACCCACTGTCCCCACCCACCACTGCACCATTACTGTGAACCCCCCACCACTACCACATCCGTAGTTCAAGCCTCGAGGAGAACCGGTGAGACTCACGGTTTTGTCTCAATGTTGAGTGCTTCACGGCCATCTAATGGAATTTCACGTTCCTTGCCGTTTCCCCGTTGGAAATATAATAAGACACGCACTCAGCCCTGTTCATTGCAGTGCTGGAGAGAACCTCGCAAACTCACGGCGACTTGTTCAAAACAAAAATACCCAATTACGCATATCGAGCAGAGCTTCAACCATGAACTTCCCTGTTGATTTAAGGAAATGAAAACATAGAATTAAATATGTACAGCAGCCAGCAAAAAATGTAATGCTGTAGATGTGGCCAGTCAGGCAATTCTCAAAACGGTTACTGGTTAAACCGGCTATTTGTTCAACAACTCGAAGTTAAAATTCAACAGGGGGTTGTGATAAGGACAGAAATATTCCGAATCCGTTCCCATCGTTATTGTGGTGCAAAAGTGTTTTTTTAGACGTGTGCGCATAAAATTGTTCGTACATTTATTGCAAAACTCGTGTATAAATCGTACGCAGTTAATTTTCGTCGATTCATCGAAGCAAGAATCAACCACCAGAGGGGTGATTGGAGCAGCCGATAGTCTGAGAGTGGTTTCGCTGCTCGCATGCAACCGGGGTTCCAGATAACAGCTTCTGAAGAACCACAAAACACACAACTATATACAGCTTCCTTCAAATACGCACGCAAGCGAAAGCCTGGGCATGTGGGCACAATGCAACCGCTAAACGTTCCGTACAGTTTTCGTTTTACGTGCACGAATACAGTGCAAATTACGCAGGTAAAATGTGATTAGGATTATTACACGGTTTCTTTTAACTCACTCCGTCTGTTGTCGTATCCTCAAAAAATCTTCTAACTCAATTTTTACCCACTTCCCAATGTGCTATCGACTGTAAACTTGGTATACTTATGTCATACTGATGACAAGACTATATTCTATCATAAAAAATAAAAGATATATTTGTAAAACATTTTACACGCTTTTTTATTTAACTCACTGTCTGTTGTATCCTCAAATCTTGTAACTCAATTTCAACCGTCTTCCCAATGTCGTATCGACTGCAAACTTGGTATGCTTATGTCATACTGATGACAATACTATACTCTATCATTGAAAATAAAAAATATTTATTTTAAAACAATCTTTTTTACGGCTCTAATTGTCGACGCTCAACTCACGTTGGCTGTAAATCACCACGGTCCCTGACGTTACGACAAGCCTCGGGGAGCCACGCCGAGGGGCGGGGGATGTGGAAGGAGGGGAGGGGCGATGGGGGAAGGGGGCAGGAGAAGGGGCAGCTCGGACAGTACATTTCATTAAAGCTTGTTTTTAAAAAAGTATTTTTAAATATTTTTTTGTCGTTGTTGTCGTATCCTCAAATCTTGTAACTACATTTGTACCCACTTCCCAATGTCGTATCGACTGCAAACTTGGTATGCTTATGTCATACTGATGACAATACTATATTCTATCATAAAAATGTAAATATATATTTTTTAACAATCTTTTGTTATATGTTATGTTTCGGGCTTGGGTCCAATTGTCCACGCTCAACTCACGTTGGCTGTAACTGGCCACGGTCCATGACGTTATGGCAAGCCTAGGGGCCACTTCCTGGAGTCGTGGAGTTCTTCCATTACTAGTACATTTCATAAAAGCGTGTTTTTAAAAAAGTTTTTTTTTAAACATTACTTATTCTTTTACTGAAATTGCCGACACCGGCGTGACTCGAGATGCGTGCGACTATGATGACAGCCGCAGGCGATAGGGCGATAACAATGCACATGCCGCACCCGTCACAGCGACGCAGTGCTAGTAACGCCACGGGGGCAGCAGTGGGGCAGCGACATCCTTTCTAGATTTGAAGCTTTCGTGACTGCAAGGATTCATACTCTCAGGTTTTTTCGGTAAAGTCACGTAGGTAAAAAAAATGAAATTAAAATTAATAAAAAAAAGGTAATAAAATGTTTTTTTCTCATTTCATTTTTTTACCTACGTGACTTTACCGAAAAAACTAAGAGCGACATCCTCCTCGTTGCACGCCCTCACACACATTCCTCTCTCTCACGACGGCGGCGAGCTTGCAAGGGTCGAGATGTCTCCCAACTGGGAAGCCATCGATCTCTCTGCCCCCCCCCCCCCCCCGAACTCATCACCTACAACCTCCCATCCTTCCCGGAGCCCTCCTGCCACCATCGGGGGGGTCTCCTGGTGCTTGAGAGGGCTCGCGTTTGGTGGCGGGGTGGTGGGGGGGGGAGGTCGACCTCGGCCTCAAATAAGAAACCTGGCGAGGTTTAAAGAAAACATCGCCACTGGGCGAGACAAAAGGCGGACGGACGGGCGTGGTCCCCCCCCCCTGCACCCCCTCGCGTGTCCTTGCCGGACTTCATGAGGGTGGCGACTCGCTAACGGCACGTGCCCCAAGCCCGTCTGTTAAGGGGCCGTCCATAAATGACGTCACGCGATTTTGGAAGATTTTTGACCCCCCCCCCTCGTCACAAAAAGTCAGACCCCCCCCCCTCAAATATGACGTTACAAAGCTCTGCCCCCCCCCCCCCCCGCAAAAAAAAAAAAATGCTTCAAATCGCTTTAAACTATTGTCATTGTAGTGCGTATTTAATGTGGCGCTGCATTCTGATGTTGGAGAAAACATTTACCAAAAAGTATAATTACTTAAGTAGAACGTGTTGTCTATATTCATTTAAAGTTGCGCATTTTGATGTGACGTCACATTTCTCACACCCCCCCCCCCCTCGTCACACATTGTCACAAATGTCTGACACCCCCCCCCCCCTAGGTGCGTGACGTCATTTATGGACGGCCCCTATGGCTACACGGGGGATCTTTGTCTTGGGGTCCTCACACAGGTTGAGCACGCGCTCAACGCTTAAGACTTCACATTAACCTACCTACTACTCTACCGTCTCAACAAAAATGGTTTGCGCCATTTACTTTGCAGGTTGGCACCACCACTATACCACAATGCTAGGGTAAAGGTGTCGCTATGCTGTATAGCGTTTAAAGTTTTTTGGGGATTTCTTGTTGTTGTAATATTTAGAAATGGATCAGCTTATCGATGCGCTGCTAAGCAATTATTGGGGCACGGTGATTAGCACCGCACTGCACCATGAAGCCGGCGGCTTTCACTTTGATTCCCGGACACCGCTATAACATCGGTGTGCATAGGGCTCCCCGCCATGTTGTAAAATAAAAGTTAAGTTTTTTTATCGGTGTATATGTTTAGTGATATGATCTTAATTTGAAGCTTTCTTGACTGCAGGAATCCATACGCATTGGTCATTTTGGTAAAGTCACGTGGGTAGAAAAATTAATTTCTACCTACGTGCCTTTAGTGATGTGCTGATGTTTCCTATACTTTGCACTCCCTGTCGCATCCTTTGTATTGTTGTTGTAACCATTCAGACCCCCCGTGCCCCTATCGGACATCTCCAGTAGAAATGCAGTATTCCGATCATGTTACTACTAGTCCAGCAACGCCGCCACCTTCAACTCGGTGTGCTCATCAAATGCTGCCACCGGAACACACGCCAAGAACCTGGGACATGTGGTGACCAAAGCGGTGAATAACATCTGACATCAGAGACACGTGATGGTGGGGGGGAGGGCGGGTGCCATTCACCCCCCCCCCCCCAACTCACTGCCACTCCGGGTGATTCGATAAAGCATCGTAAATTCTAGGTCACGGTTTCGTTGAAAACATTTTTTTACGGTTCACTACCGCAGTGACTTAGAAACCTTTAGAGGCTGAAGGGAGTCATATGAAGCTAGGATTTCCAGTGAGAGACCCAATACAGAAGATCCCCCCCGAGTTTGATCTTCCACGAAGTTCATGGTCCACCCTAAACCGCATCCCACAAACCATGGCAGTAAATGTGGATACCCGACGCACAAATGGCGAATAAAAAAAAAAACCTCTCCAGTCGTGCGCCAGAGGTCGCAATCGGGTACCCGATACCCGTACCCTACCCGATACCCGGCTACCAGCCGGGTACGGGTACCCGTTTGCGACCCTGGTGCGGCTGGGTACGGGTACGGGTAAGCCGTGAGTTACTGGTGAGTAACCATTTGTCACTCATTTCCCAACATCTTGTCTCTTCTCACAATTCAAGTTCCTAGAATCAACCCACCCGCGCCTGCAACATGGCTTCATCCCAGAGGTCGCAATCGGGTACCCGATACCCGTGCCCTACCCGATACCCGGCCGGGTACGGGTACGGCCGGGTACGGGTATCGGGTACCCGATTGCGACCCTGGTGCGGCCGGGTACGGGTACGGGTAAGAAATCAAAACCCGTTTGCGACCTCTGTCCTGCGCGCCTGTGGCCGTCCAGAACAGACCGCACAAACGTACAACGACGCAATGCCCCAGATCCACAAATCCGAAGGAGACACTACGGCGATGATACGCTCCCCGCTGTGCCGGACGCGGTTGTCTGGCTTGATAACCGCCTGAATGTGACATTGTAGTTGTTGCTCTGCATCTACAACAAGCAGCCATACGAAAGTAAGAAGTGAGGACTTAACTATAATCCTGGTTTTAACCAAATACAGTACTGTAGTATTGCCCTGGTCCCCGGTAAACTCGTCCGACTGTGGAAGCACAGAACCCAGAAGGCACTCTCACTCATCTTCCTTAACTTTCAACGCTTACAGGAGGAAGGCATTTTCCCTTCATGTGACCTTTTACACAGCGATTGTTTCGCGCACGATGCGATGCAGCGAGGTTATGGTTCCACCCCTAGAAGCCAGTGCCGGATTATCCTAGTAGCAAAAGTAGCTACATATGTAGTAGCTACATGTGTAGTAGCTACAAAGGTAGTAGCTACGGGCCCCGCACTTTCAAGGGCACCGCGCTAAATGCTTTCAAGCTATCAATTCCAGTTCAGTGATTCTGAACTTGCTCTATTACTATAGTACTATACCACCTTCAACTTTTATGAACTGGGTGTTTAAGGTTAGCGATTTGTCATATTATCTGACTGTATAGCAAACGAAAAAATACAATTGCTTTACTATGCAAGTAAAAAACGTGTGTTTTAATATTTGTGTGTTTTTTGTTTAATGTAGGACCCCTTTATAAACATATGCTACAGGGCCCGCACTAGCTTAATCCCGCACCGCTAGAAGCCATCGCCACGTGCCATGGGGTGCCCCTTCCCGCCGATGGCGCGCCTCCGATTAGCGCGGTTGGCTACGTGCGGAGCCAAAAGAAGTTCATCGTGCATACGTGCACACGGAGAGCAATGTTACCAGCTTTACAACTCATTCTTTGTGCAAGCACACGCTGTTCAGTGAGTAAACACCATTTGTGAAAAACCAATAGAACGCGTAAAAAAAAAATACACACGTCCGTTTAACAAAAATAAAACATATCCTGCTCATGGCCTTTCTTTAGTAATCTTATTTTAGTCTCATGCATTCGTAGATGCGGCGAACGAGATGGGAGGGAAAAAAGCTTACTCTCATCCAACCGCAGGCGGATGTGGCGAGCAGGACCACTGCTGCTGCCTACTGCTGCTGCAGAGCAACGCACACATCACAGTACACCCGGACCCCTCGCTCCGAGAAGTTTAAGTTGGTAATTGTTCCACGGATGATGGATCCTGTTCTTTTGCCAGCTGCCCGGCTATATTAGACGGCAGATCCGTGGCGCTGCGTACGCACGATGGTCCACAACCAAAAAGCGTCCGATATTGCAGAGAACGAGAACACCACGAGGCGATTAAGGTTAAAAATGCAGCGCAGCGTGAACTCCGTTTTACAGAATACAAGGTGGGTTACGTTCGAGACGCCCCCCCAGACCCAGTATACACACTCCTGTCGTAGTAATGTACCGTGGCGTGCAGACCTCAAACGAGGAATGAAATTATGTACGATTGTGCAACTTGGCACGATACACGAGTACTGTTCTCACCGATACAAGGCTTGTAGTGATGGACGCAAAGACGACGGTGTGTAGAGGCGAGTGCAGGTTTGTTACGTTGGGACGTTTCGGGTTTGCCTTATGCGCGCGTTCACGTCACTTAAATACGGGCCAAATAGCAAAACGGATTGTACCAGCGGCGGAGGGGGCACACGCTGGACTACAAATCCTGTTGAGGCAGATCCTTTGGGAAAAACCGAGGCATCATTTGAGATAAAGTGGCGAGAGGTGAAGCAAACCCTCTGCGGTCCATCGTTGGGTAACCGGAGCGAACGTGCCGTTGCTGGTGTAGGTCACTAAGTTTCCAAGACAATACGTATATTGTCAGTGCATGTTCACCACAAGTACGTGTGGTTAATGCAGACTTGATTCCTTGCAAAAGGTTTCTACTTGGTGTTAAGAGTACCGGCTCGGTTATTGTATGGGCAGTGGTGAATGCTACGATGGGCCGTGCATCTCGTACCGTTCAATCGCTGCCGTATGGGCTCTGGTAGGGCATGCCTCCTCTGCCGGGGATGAGCTCACGGTGGCTCCGTGTCAGGTCTACACAAGGAAAGGCGAGGGCACAGGGAGACACAAGAGTGAGCATAACAACGGTGCCATTAGCTCACCGCCTTTTATCAATGCAACGAACTTAGTTTCAACATCTCAAAATATGCAATGTCCTCGCTGGACCACCCAGGACTGCAAATCGGCCAAAACAAGAAAGAAACAAAAACACAGTCTTGGTGCCGGTGATACGCGTGTCAAAATTACGAGCTGGAAGTAACCCGTCGCGATCAAGCTGTCAACTTCTTGGTTCTTTCGGTAAAGTCACATAGAAGGGAAATAATAAAAATAAAACATAATAAAATAATTCTCACGACGTTTCGGCCACAACGCAAGCAGCCGTCGTGAGAATGATTTTATCATGTTTTATTTTTATTATTGTATTATTTCCCTTCTACGTGACTTTACCGAAAGAACCAAGAAGATGAATCCCTGCAGTCACGAAAGCTCTGTCAAGTTTGTTTAAACCGTCAAATCAAGCGCCACACGTTAGCGAGCAGCCGCAGCGACGGGGCCCATCGAAGAATCTCCCAGCGTGCCCGGTGATGACACGCGCAGCGAGCGGGGTCAGAGAGACCGGCGCAAGCGGCTCTCTCGCTCGGTCGGACAAAGAGGAGCGTGCTTGCCAGATGCCTCCGAAGATGCGTCCGGCGCGGCTGCTGCTGCTGCGCACGCGCCCCTGACGCCCGAGCGTGTGTGGACTTAAGAGAAGGGGAGAACAAATCAATCTCTCTCTGGCTTTGCCGCTTGCCAGGCTCTTCAACATTTCAGGGACGCCCTCGAAAACAAACACGGCGAGCCGCGGAGGACGCGGATGTTTACCCGTTACGTTCGGGCGCAGGTGGTGGCAGTAACCAAGACGTTTCGTGGCGGAGCACGGCACACAACAGGACCGGTGGAGAGGGCGGGGGGGGGGGAAGAGTAACTATGAGGAGAAGCGCCCGGACGTGAGCAGGACGCACGCCGCTGTGGCGAGTGAATGGAAACAGCGGCGAAGATGCAACAAGTATAACCCGTAAAAACAAAGTTTTTCACTCTAAATCCTTTATGTGCGTGGCGGCTAGAGTCCTCTCGTCCTCTGGCTTGAGATGGCTGCAATCTATGGGTCAGATGATTGTCTGCCAGTATTAAGCAATTGGTAATTAAATATTTAATTTGTTTTCCCTAAACAGTGTAACATTTTGGGAAAAAAATTTCACGAAAATTAATTGTCACACACAACGAGTCTGTGTGGAAAATGTCAGCTCGATTGGATCACGGGAAGTGGGTTAAAAAACGAGCGAAAGATTTGCACGGTCCTAAGCAAGCAAGCAAGCACGCGAACTTAATATAAAGGATTTAAAAAAGATCGCAGTCTGCATATAAATCACGTGGTAAACCTAGCCCGGCATACACCACGATATCCCACCACACTCACCTACATCACACTTTAACCTAGCCCAGCATACACCACACGCGTGTTTTCGGTTTAGTTTTGTTGTCCTTCCCGCCCGCACCTCCGATTAGCACGGCCGGTTACAAGCGGTGCGAAAGAAGTTCAACATACATCGGCACACACACACACGGCTACCGCGCCGGTCCCTTCTCTCGTGCCGTGACCCACACCTGCCCTTGGGCCCCACAGCTGCTCCGAAGCAGTCACTCGGCGGGGAGGCTGCGGTGCCGGACCGCAGGCTCTCGCCGCTGTTTGCCAACGTAAGCCGAGAACACGCACACACGCACGCACGCCGCCACGGTGCCGCTTTATCGCTGCCGTGTTTGCGGAAGAAGATTGAGCGGTGCTGCGGTCACTAAATCAGCGCCAGGTCAACCTGCAGAGGAAATTACAGGTGCGCAGGTGTGCAAGTAACCAGGGAACAGGCGCGTAGAATAACCGATTGGAGCGCTTCCCTTTTCTCCCTGTACGCATTAAATGGCTCCGTTTTCATGGAAGCATTGTCATGCCAAAGTGAAATTCGAAACAATTCATGCCATTGCTTTTTACGCGCAGAAATCTTTTTTTTTTCCTATACGGTAAAGTCTGCTCCAACGCGGATACTCTCACAACAGCAACGTTGATGAGAAACAAGGCTGTTTTGCAATGCGCTCGTCATACTTTTTCTACATTTACGTTTACCGGATATACATTTACAATCAAAACAAAGCCAACGTCAACTCGGAGACTTTTTACTTATCTACACGTGCTGACACATCAAATTTTGACTGATAAAGCTACCCCTCACCTGGCAGCTAGAAGACTTTTCACGAACGAATTCAACGTCAACGTACGACGGCGTTTCGCCCGAACTGCTCCGAGCTTGCGCCGGGTAGCGAACGCGGGGAAATAGTGCACCAGATTCCCAAAACCATACATGGATCTTCGTGTTGGCTGCAAAAAATCTACGCGTTAAATGATATGCACAGTACATCTTCTTCTGTTGTACGGATGACATTTTGCGTAGCAACCGTAATTCGATGTCGACATTTTAAATCCGGCCGATGGCTTCACAAGACGGCGAATTTGTTCAACGCGGTCCTCCCGACGACGAGTTGGCCAAATGGCTTATTGTGTTGGTGCCTCCCGCAGACACATGTTGGAGATTATTCTATCTTGCATGTACGGAGTAGGTGGCCGCACCTTTGGTGAGCTGTGCGGATGCAGTTCACAGCGGAGCCTCGTTTGCGTGGCAGGATAGGGCCCTAGGTGGTAGTTGAGAGGAATGGTCTTGGATCCGGTGTTTGTTAGATCGCAAGGCAGATTTCCCAGGTATTTTTCCACTGTAGTTCGATGTTTTCTGAGGTTCGATGAAGAGTGGCAGTGACGGTCTAAAAATACTTTCTTAATCTATTACTGCATTGTTACACAGGCAGTAATAATTTAGTAATTCAGTCAGGAATAATGTAATACATTCTGCCAAGTAAATGCCTGCCTCGGTATCAAAATACATTTGAAGGTTGGGAATGTTTAGCCGAACAGTGTTTGGAAGAAAAATAATGCAGTGGGAAGAAACCAGCATGCCCAGAGAAAACCTTTCCATGAAGAGATAACAAGTTCTGGTGCACAGCAGGTAACACACTTCCTGCAACAAATGTGACCATGTGTTCTGGCGTATTAGCGAAGCAGTTAACAACAACAAATCATCACAAAACAAACCTCGCCAAAACTATACGCACATTCACGAACAGAGTGTGAATGGCTGCATTTCAACACCAAACCTTGGCACCGCGTCCGAGTTATATTTGCCCATTCGGGGCTCCAAGTTTCCACGGCCCCCCCCCCACCACCACTTCATAAAACATCGTCCAGCCATGCTACGTCCCACATCCTTCCCTTTTTGTAACACCTGCATTATTCTCAGTGGCCTCGTTCTCCATCTCGTTCCAGCAGTGGTGAGATGTTAAACTACGTTGCCTGGTATGGCAGGAGGTCGTGGGTTCGATTCCGACCCTGACGTCTTTATATTCTGAGTTTGCATGTTCTCCCCGTAGTCGCATGAATTTTTCCCTGGGTCCACCAGTTCTTCCCTCCTGCGTTCAGAATCAACATCACGCGTTTAGAGTATTTGGTGTGCGATAAATTGCCACGTGAGAACTTTGTTGAGCTATCATTTGTGGCCAGGTTGCTTCTGAAAGGGAGTTATGTGGCTCAGGTGGGTCTTACCCTGTTAAAATAAAAACATCGGTTTATTTTTTTACATTTATTTTATTATTCGAAAACCCAAAAGCACAACGCAGACATCCGAGGGAGAAACACAGGCCACGAATTGTATAACAGTCCGGAGCAATAACCTGAGAGAGAGAGTCGTCACCGCACGCCGACAACAAAGATACGGTGAACGGAGACTGCTAACGAGGCAGCAATGATGCGGCCGGCAGCAGCAGTTGTTTCGTCTGAACAACATTTTTTCTAAACTTCACATTCACAGCCAACTCAAAAAAAAACCACGAGGACTCATTAAGAGCGGAGCTTGAAGGCCGGCTTTCAAGTTCACACGAAAGAAACGGAGATCTAACAGGAGAAACAAAGTGATGGCTGGCGTGGTGGTATTGACCGCGTGACGTCCTCTTGACCTTGATTACTGTACAGCGATAGTAAACAAACCGCCAACGCCATAAAAGCTGTGCCGACAGCCAGGGCATTGACTGCAGAGACGTCCAAACTAAAACATCAGCAACAAGGATTTCCTGGATAAAGTGAAGTAATATAAATAATAGTGTTATGCAAACATTAAAGCCTCGCTGGAGTTTCAAGACGTTTCCCCGGAGGATCCTGCGTAGGCACTACTCCATTCATGGGCATCTGGGTTCGTGTGGGAGCAAACTGGAGAATCCTGGGAAAACAGACTCCACAAAGGAGGGTGCGAAACTCAAGGATGCTGTCTACTGACCACCTCACAATCCCACACCTACGATGCCTGGCAAGTCAACGTGGTCACCCATTCAATCACTAAGTAAGCCGAACCCACGTTAGCTTCTGAGATCCGATGAAGTCAGGGCACAATTAGGGGTGATTGTGAGATTATTATTTTTTTTAAGCATAAAATAAATACGAAGAAAGCCTCGCGCGGAGTTGCGAATGCAGCATTGCGCCACAGTTGGCTGTCATGAGGCGACTTCCTTTTTCTGGTTTCTCTACTTCCCAATGGCAGGATGGCCGTGTCGTGCGAGGGCGAGCTTTACGCGAGCGAGCATGGGATAGCGTGGGCGAGATGTGCAAGTAAAGGCCCCAGCTTCGGGACATCCTGCGCTGGAGACAATGCTGTTGCGCAAGCTGGCGACCGAGAAGCGAAAGGCCAACTGCTGTGTCGGGAAGGAAGCTGCTGCGACCGGCACGTCCATCACTACTACGTCCACAACGAGACGCTCACCACCGCACCGATGGTGGCTTTTCGAGCCAAATGCCGGATCGGGGGCGGAGGGGGGAAACGGGAAAGCGTGCAACATGCACGCCAATTATATTCTGAAAAAAACGACTCGTTACATAATTATCAGAGTTATGTTCAGTCGTGGCGACG